TTTAACCCTAACTCTAATCCAATCTAACTATAATTAGATTCAAATTTTTCATAAAAGTGCACATAGTGCACCCTTGTATCAAATATAATTCACTATAGTACTAGGCAGCAAAACATATTCACTTTTTATTAATAAAAACTTTAAACTATTATAACTTTTTTAAAACAAGTTAAATCAAAAAAATTTTTCAACAAATTGATAAATATTTAGTTAAACTATATTTTTGTCAAAAGATTTTTTATTATTCTTTGTTTTAAAGAAGTTATTAAGGATTAAAGTTTATAATAATTTAAAAAATTGGTATTTAATATAAAAAAAAGAAAATATATATGCTTAATTAACTAATAATAATCAATTATATCAAAATTAGCTAATCAGAATTGATTATATAAGCATCAAAAATTGGCACTTTATATATATAGAGTGGATGTCTTATACTGTTTAGTACTATATAAAAAAAAATGATAATCTTTTAAAAATATAAAAGATACTATTAAATAAAAGCTTTTTATAATTTTAATTAAAATTATAAAAAATTTTAACAAAAAGTAAGCAATTTGGTTTACTTTTTTCCAAATTCAGATATATCTAGGAATGCAACTACATGTTTTGTTTATTGGTAGATACAATACACGATGTAATCTGTAGATACAGGGTCCTCTACATAACTAGAATTAGGTCTCTGGCATAAGAGATATTTGAAAGTGGCCAGTAGTCAGATAATAATTGGTTTACTATAGTCGAGATATACAAACATTGCAGTTGTTATAAAATTTTTTCTTAAACCTAGCACAGGTTATAATAGTGTATTTCTTTTTTTTTCTTTCATTCTATTTGTACTATTTCTTGATAGAAATAGTTTCCTTTTTGTTAACTCTTGGGCTTTTCTCTTTGTATTTCTTTTTTTTACATCTTATTGTACCTTCTTTTATTTTTTCTTTAAAAAATTTCTCTTTGTTATATTTGTTTTTTTAGTTAGTTTTTTCATTTTGTCTTCTTAATAGTATTGGTGGTTTTGTATTAGATATAAGATCATCACTTTCTTTTGCTTTTAATAAAGAAAGGAGAGATGAAAAAAAAAGCTTTGATGGGCTAACAAAGTTTATTTAACTTGTATACAAATTGGTGCAACAAGTGGTTAAAAATAATATATATATTGTTCGAGATAGTTTACTATCACTAAATATAGTCTTAATAAATTAAGCACTGGCAAACTATCAAAGATTTAAAAAAAAAAAAGATTTTTTTAATTGTCCAGAGTATAGTGAAAGATACTTTATTTCTATACAAAGTGATACAAAAGTTACATTTTTGATGCTTCAAAATGATACTTTTATGATAAAATTTCAAAAGTATAACTTTGAATTTTCTGTCTGTCTTTATTTGTATATTTGTATAATATAACAAATTTCATGTAATTTTACTCTAAACTTATAATGGTTTCTATTTTCTAATTTTAATAGTAGTTAAATTATTAAAATTGGCTTGGTAAATCTCAAAATACTTAAAGTTAAAAAAAAATATAAGAACAATATTATTTATTATCTGATTTTTTTTTATCAGAAACATACTTTTTTTAATATATATCTGATTAAATTTTTATATATAATTTTAACTTTTTTATCCTTTTTCTTTAAAAAATCATTTAATTTTTGTCACTTTCCTAAAGATCTACAATTTACTATTATACAAAGTATTATAAATTATAATTTTTTTTTTTGGTTTTTTTTGGCAATCCTGCTTTTATTATTTGAAAGATACTATATACAATTATATATTTGCAGATCAATACTATTTCTAGCTACTACCATCTCTTGTACAATAAAGACTCACTTGGTTACTATAAATACCTAAATGCAATTTGCCTCAACAACATGTTTTCTCCTTCACAGAGCTCTAACTTACTAGAGCTTATCTGCAAAATTAACAAATATAAGTTTTTACTTTATTGTAAATTCTTTGAGCTTTTTTAGTATATATTTCTTTTTAATTATTCTGCTTATCCTCTGACTTTTTTTCTCCTCATCATATAGCTCTTCAAATACTTGTGACAACTTCACATTAAAACTTTCAGATTCTTTAATAGAAATTTTTGTAAAAACTTTTGAGCATTTTTTTTAGATCAAGTCTTGTCTCTTTATCTTCTTTTCTGTGTATAAACATGATCTTTTGAATAAGTTTTTTTCTTTTTTCTATCTTTTTCTTTGAAAAATTTCCTTTTGAGATCTTGTATATATATGTCTGCTTTTGAAAAATTTTTTTTGGCCTTTTCTTTGTCTTTTAGTTCATTAATTTTCTTAATTACCTTGTTTTTAAGTTTTTTTTCAAAAATGCATATAGGTTTTATATGTTGCTAAGTAGTCTAAAATTATAATATTTTGTAGATTTTTAAATTACTAAATTGTAGTAATAATTAAATAAAATATTTAACTTCTATTATTAAAATTTAGACTCTTATAACACTAAATAGTATTTTAAATAAGATAATAGTCTAATTTGTCATTGTAAATATAAATATCTAGAATATAAAATATGACTTTTAATAATAATAACAAGTAGTTTAAGATATGGGTTTTCAGATAGCAACAATATCTAGTTTGAGATATGAATTAGAAAAATACCAAAAAGTAATATTTTTTGAAATACCAAGCTAGAAGTAAAAAGAATAAAAGTAATTTTTTTTTTTTAATTTAGCAATCTTGCCTATACTGTTTATTAGATTTATACTAAGATATTTTTAGTTACAAATATCATAAGTACAATTACAACTATCTAATATGTATTACAGTATTAGCTTATCTAGTTATCGTATATTTCCAAAAATAAGCAACCTCCAAAAGAAGCTACCCTTTTTTCTTGAAGAGAAAATATAAAAAACACTTTTGTTCCAAAAATAAACTATTCCTGTTAGCTGCAAGTAGTTGCTATATATAAAAGTTGAAATTATATTAAGTAAATTGGCAAAAGTTACTTAATAGTGATTGTTCAGAAAGTAAAAATACACCTATTCTGAAAGTTCTAGCGAATTGAAGAACTTTTTACTAAGATAGTTTTGCATTTTACATTCAAACATAAAATGCAAAAACATCTTAATAAAAAGTTTTTCAATTTACTTGAAACTTTCAAGATAGGTGTATTTTTACCTTTTAAACAATCGCTATTAAGTGACTTTTGTTAATTTACTTAATAGAATTTTGGCTTTTATATGTAACAACTACTTGCTGCTTAATAAAAATTGATAAAAATTAATTGTATTTAAAAATAAGCTATCTTATGATTTTTGTGTAACTTTTTGACCAAAAAAAGGTAGCTTATTTTTGGAAACATACAGTACTAATTTAATTAGTAATTCATAAGAGATGGAAAGAATTATATAGTAATACTATATATACATAAGGGGATATTAAATATAATAAAAACAATTAATATCTATAATCTGGAGCCGAAATTAAAATTTCTCAACCCCTGTCAAGTTAACATCTTTTGTATTTCTAACAAAACTTGTAGAGATGATTTTTTTCTTTCTAATAGTAGTAAAATCATTAAAATTGGCCTAATAGTTCATGAGATATTCATATTTTTGTCTTTGTGGTTACAGTAAAACCTCTATAAGTGTACCTCTATAAGTGTACACCCTCTCTATATGCATGTTATGTCCTGGTCCCAAGCTCGGACTTAGAGCTAAGTGCACACTCTCTATATTCTGCACGTGCAAGTGATTCTGAGATTCACGCATATTAAAAATTTTTCCATAAATGCACGCACGTGACAATTACGCAACGATAGCCAATCAGTGATCAGTATGTGACTACGAGTCAATCCAAAACGCGCATGAGGTAAAAAAATTTTTTTTTCAAGAAAATGGCTATTCGAAATTATGTTTAATCCCGTATTATACAAATACATATCTCATTTTCCAATAAGTGGCAAAATTCATAAAAATTCTTTAGTTTTCATAGCTTACAAGTTTTCCAAATGTAATTTTTAAAAACGGCAAATATGTTTTAATGTTTAATGTAATCGGTAAGATAATTTAAAAATGCATTTATTGATTACACTGCCCAGTTTATATATTTGTTAGTACATTAAATAATTATTAAAGACGTCTGTATGATTTCGCTATTTCTACCTTAAATAACGTAATTGCAAACGTGATCGGAAGACCTAAAAAGTAACTATAAAAAACTAATCGGATCCTGAATGAATAAATAAGCCAAATCCATAATTAAGCTATAACTTGACAATTAAGCAAGTATAACCATGGCTTTGGAACCATGCTTAAAGCGGTATAACTAATTTAAGATAGAGATTCCAAAGCCATGGTTAAACTGGCTTGATTATCAGCCAATCCTATCTACATGGAACGGCTGTGTTAGTACTGTACAGTACTGCAGTATATATCAAATATTTGTATCGATTTTGAAATTATAAAAAAACCAAAATAAAATAAAATAAAATAAAAATGATAAAATTAAATGCTTCGGAATAGAAAAAGGAAAAGTACCAGATTTTTGCATAATAGCTCCCACCTGCGTGTTATTTTAAATATATGAGCATTTTTTTGAGTACGCACATGAGCGTAATTTTGAATCAAAGACTAATCATCTGCCATATGAAGATATGAAGATAATTGTGTAATTGGCTATTTACACAGATTTTACATTGATTCAGACATGCGCATTATTTCGGGCGTCATTTTGAAGCCATGCATCTTATTTTCAGATATTACAGTATTCGAAATCACGCTCATGTACGTTATTATGCGAAAATGCGGTATGATGAATTACTTACGTTGCGCTGCCCCAAAAGCCTCTAAATGAATAAAAAAATGCAGGAATCTTGATAAAAAAAAATAATAATAATACTGCAATATGTACATAAAATTAGTTATAAATATGAGATGTAAATCCAAAAAAAAATAATAATAATAAATAAAAATAAAATAAAATAAAAAATAAACATAAAAATTAAACAAACCTTCGTGCAATACTGTATTTAAAATGTCTCACAAGAGAACCACCCTAACTGAAATTCAAAAGCGAGATCTTTGCGCTTACGCCCTCAATAATAAACTGACACGGGCTCAATATGTTAATTGGATTGAAGAACAGTGGGGGTTAGAATTAATGAAAGCACCGTTTCTCGTATTTTAAAAACAGGAGAACAACGACTTAGTTCAGAACCAATTAGCCCAGATATAAAACGACATAAATCCGTTACCTACCCTGAACTTGAGCTTGCGCTCAAGGAATTTGTTTTAACCTATCAAAATAAAACGGTGTTAAGCGATGCGATCCTTATTGAAAAAGCAAAATTGCTTGCTGAAAGATTGAAAATTCCTCAAGGTGCGTTTCAATTTTCCGCTGGGTGGCTTCATAAATTTAAGGATCGTAATGGTATTCGCCAACGAAGAATTGAAGGAGAGGCAGGATCTGCTGATGAAACTGCCATTAATAATGCTTTACTCTTAATAAAAAATCGTTGCTCTGAATATCCTCTTGAAAGAATCTACAATATGGATGAAACCAGGCTTTTTTATAGGTAAAATCGTTTGGCGATATCCTATTATTCTATATATTTAAATAATGTTTTCTGTTATTAGAATAACTTATAGTATTGGCTACTATCAATAAAAATCAAACATATTTATTTAATAAATATGTCTGATTTTTATTGATAGCAGCCTATATTTCTATTTTATAGGTTGGAGCCAGATCGAACACTTGCAACTAGACGTCTTTCTGGGCGTAAAATGAATAAAGAATGTCTTTCAGTCGCATTGTGTGTAAATACTAATGGCTCTCATAAATTAGACCCTCTTGTAATCGGCAAATATCAAAGACCTCGCTGTTTTAAAAATATAAGAATTCAAAATATGCCTATGAAGTATAGTAGCAATGCGAAAGCTTGGATGATTTCGTCGCTTTTTCAAGAGTGGATTCAAGAATTTGATCATCAAGTTGGTCAAATGCATCAAGGCCAACGTGTATTACTTCTTCTTGATAACTGCCCCAGTCATATTTTAGCTGGACTTACTTTGCAGTATACCGAAGTTTTGTTTTTGCCTCCAAATACTACTTCGAAAATCCAACCATTGGATGCTGGGATTATTATGACATTTAAAAGATTCTATCGTTGCCTTTATGTACGATAAGGTATACCTATAAAAAATATAAGTCTGACTTTTTTAAATTTTTTTTTTTATTTATTATTATTTTTTATTTATATATATATATTTATTTATTTATTTATTTTTTTTTTATTTATTTTTTTTTTTAAAGCTTAATGCTGCAACACGTAGAAGAAGGCAACCGTGCTGAAGATTTGCGCATAAATATCTTGCAGGCAATTAATTTTATTATTCAAGCCTGGGATGAGATTAGTGCTGAAACTATCCACAATTGTTGGTGCTATACAAAGATTCTTCTATATGATATCAATGCTGAAAGAAATGCTTCAGCAAGCACTTTGGCAAATACTTCGGCAAATACTTACCAAAAAAATTCAGCACATGACGATCTTGTAGACGCATTGCAAGCTCTTAGACTTTCTTACCCAATGAGAGTTGAAGAATTTCTTAATATTCCTGAAGAAGATGTAGTTTACGAAGCTCCAGAGGATGATCAAATTATTGACGAACTCGCATATCTTTTTAGGAATGCTAATGAAGATATAGATTTAGATGAAGCAGATGATAGCAATGAAAGTCCTATTATTGGTGCCAGCACCGCTATGTCCAGCTTGGAAACTGTTCGTATGTTTCTTTTTTAACAGGATGGTGCGGAAGAATACATAAGATTAGTAGGAAAGATTGAAAAGTTCATTAGAATCAAAAAAACAAAATCAATGCGACAAACAAATCTTGACGCATTTTTTAGTTAAAAAAAATACTTAGCTGTAATTTTTTATTACTGTATTTGAAATAAATTATCTCTCGAAATTTAGTAAATGGTCATACTGTATAAAAGTTCCTCTTTAATAATACTGTATTATACTCCGTGGATTTCTTATCAATTGAACACGGGTTTCTTTAACGATCTAGATTACCTACTATAAATACAATGCAATACTCGCTTTAAATTTTTTACTTTCTATGATATAAGCTTTCACTTTTTCATACCCGGGTTTTTAGTTTTAAATTTGTAAAATAACATACCAGATCTTATGGTTTTTTATGCTGTAGTATTATATTCGCTAGATTCAAAAAAAAAAAAAGATAATCTTGCATCAACCCTAAATGTATAGAGATCTGCAACCTACCCATTCGATCGAAGTGTTTACTGCTTATTCAAAAAACGTTGAAGCCATTATAAAACCTTCGATATAATTATATATGGCAGATAGAGCGTTCATAATAACCGATAGTAATTGTGTAATGTAGATTCTCGGTCACGTGATATCGGTTAAATTTGATTGTCTGTTCCCTAAGTGCACACCCTCTCTAAGTGCACGTATATGCCCGGTCCCAAGGGCGTGCACTTATGGAGGTTTTACTGTATATGAAATTTCTTTGCAAATTTTCCAAATTTTCGAAAAAAATTTTATATAGCCACAAAGACAAAAATAAGAATATTTCATGAACCATCAGGCCAATTTTGATAATTTTACTACTATTAGAAAGAGAAAAATCGCTTCCACAAGTTTTGTTAGAAATACAAAAAATGTTAACTTGGCAGAAATTGAGAAATTTCAATTCCGGCTCCAAATTATAGGTATTAATTATTATTATTATTATTATTATTATTTTTTTTTTTAAACTTTGACAATTTTGTCATTAACTTTATTACTTATTTTAATCGAACATTGCAGATATTACATATATTTTTAACTTATCTAAGTAGTTGTAATGACCTCACCCGGCTACCTTATATAGCGCCCAGATGCAACCGCCTGTATCATCTCATATGTGAGATAGACGTCCTCGGGTATTTCTATCAAGAAATACTTTAAGTCCTGATTTAACTCAGAACCTTAATGTTTTTACTAATTCATATATACCCTGCTATATGTACTACTGTACAATGTCTACCAGTTATAATCCACCCCTCATCACTTATCACATTACTCCTAATTCGTTTCTTGTATAACT